CACACACACACACACACACACACACACACACACACACACACACACACGTTTCTCTTCACCTTCTGTTGTCAGTAGAAACAGTCACCTCCTGCGGGGGCGGGGCTGACACCGTGGGCCTTTTTAGTTTTAATTTACCTTCAGTACAAGTACAAAGTTCTGAATCTGGTAGGAGCAGGATTTGAACCATCGACAAGTGGTACACTCACCAGACATACATGAGCACCATGGTCCTCAGGCGGAGGACCGGATGGACGACCAGCTGCAGGACACCCGCGCCCCTGTTGCCACGGTTACCAGCTTTGCCAGGGCCAACTCGCTGCAGCATCAGGTGTTTGGCGGCGTTGCCATTTCTCAGCGCCATGTAGCGCAGGACCTCCGATCAGAACACAGTTAGACCTTACATTTATTTCTAATGGTATTTATGTTACTTACACCGAATGATTGTGTTTTTACTTGAGAACATTCATAAGATTACTGCTTCATAATTCCTTTTTTAAATGTGTACATTGTGTATTAAACTATGGTTTTTATTTTTCCACTGAGATCAAATCTTAAACAAAAAGTGTATTTGTTAGACTCCTCAGTTCAGTCAGTTGGAGATAAAAAAATAAAAACACTGACACTAGAACTACTCAACAACAATTCAAACATCCACCTCTTCAGCTCGCTCCGTCTGACCCTGAGAATACAGCCAACGAGGAGACTCTGGAAGAGTTCTGGAGATGACAAGCATCAAATTAGATGTTTCCACATACTGTAGATAATCTCAGAAACATCCATGAACTGTGATTAAAGTTCCTCCGTCAAGAACACAAGATTTGTATTTGAGCTTAATCTTAGTTGTAACAGGAGGAAGTGGAGATGTGTTGTAAATGATCAAACTCAGTCATGATGTGTTATTTGTAGAAATATACTCAAAGATGTGGAAAGAAACCCCCGAGAAATATACCTTGTTCTGCGTGTTCCAACAACCCCCACTCTTATGCATTTGTTTTGGTTTGATGTGGATGCAGGTAGAGACTTGTCTCTGAGGTTCACACTCACACAGACAGAAGAAAGAACAGGACGCCGAGCAAGTTGGCTGCCGAGGCGAGACTCCTCCACGGCCGGATGAAATATCCCAGCGCTCCGAACAGAGCAATACCGATCGCAAAGGTCATACTGGTCAATGTCCCTGAGGATGGAAAGATGTAAGACCAGGGTCATTTAAGCTGCTTTCACTGGACTCCGCAGCTCCTTAGCAGCAGGTTCAAACCGAGACAGCGTAGAAATCTGCATAATGTTTCCGTGGCGTCGTCTTGCCTGTCATGGCCCAGTAGGACTTGCCCACATACTCCTGAGTGAGGACGAAGCAGACCAGGCCGGTTCCGCCGTTCATCAGTCCCACCAGCAGACGGGACACGGCGAAGACCTCGTAGTTGGGGGCTAAGGCCGTCATGTAACCAAAGACCACCTCGAAGAAAAGACCTGGGAGGGAGAGAGAGAGAAATATTTATTTAAATAAATCACAACTCTTCTAAATATCACTCAACAGTATTTCTGCAGATTTAATAAATTAAACACTTTTTTAAAGTCACACAAAGTTTAATTACAATAAAACCAAAAGCAAATCCAGTGAGGACGATGTGCCCGGGAAAGATTTATTACTAAATCACATTTTTATCAGTGTTTCCTTGTTTTGTGCATCAGTGATTCTTGACGATTTAATTAACGGCGGCCTGAGAGTGCTGGATGAAACAGTTCTAGTTCAGATCATACGATCATAACTAACAAGAAAAAAATATTCAAGACTAACTTTTATAAACTGTCTAAAGCTCAGTTTTTTTAAGAAACCTGAATCCAATGCTTTTTGAGAAGTTTCCAGATGTGCAGATCGTTTCCACGGTTCCCTGGACAAACAGCCCCCCGGCTTTCGATGCTCTGTGGTTCCTCACCTGTCAAGTAGACTGGTCTCCTCCCGATCTTGTCGGAAAGTGGCCCGAAGACGATGTTTCCCACCAGCAGCCCGACGAAGAACAGCGATCCAGCGAGACTGACCTTATAGGCCTGCTGCTTGACGAGAAACCACTGAGGAGCGACAGGGGACAGACACACAAACCACTTTTGTCTCTGTGCATTTCAGGGGCAGGGATTTAAAAACGAGCACATATGATGAATCCAGAGGCCGAACATGTTCACTCCTTCACCTCCGTCACTATGGAGTCGATGTCCTCTGTAAAGGTGACATGGTGTTGCAGCTCCTGGCGTCCGGCCGGGGCGTCGTCCTGCTGCTCGATGCGGTACTCTGGTGTAGAGCCGACCAGAACAATCAGCATGGACTGACACGCCATGTACACCTGAAACACACAAACCACAACTGTGACACACAGACTGGGAATAAAGATGGACACGTGTTAGAAAGGTGTCCAGAGCGTCCATGTTGTAACCATTACATTCTCTATCTCCTGCACACTAGAACACTTCACAATCCACATTCAATTAAAACTCTGTATTCCAACACGGCACCGACCTTGTTGAATGTTTTTATCTTTGCTGTGTTTTCTTTTAAATTCTACATAAAGTGTCTCAGAGTTTCTTGAAGAGCGATTTGCAAATCAAAAGTATTATTATCAATAAAATCTAAAGCTCTGAATTAGGATTTAGATCAATTTAGGACTGAATGAAGGTTGTTTGAGCAGCTCGTTAAAACAGGCTCCGGCTGGTTTCTCTGAGTCTGAATCAGTTTGGATCAACAGGTTTAAAAAGTCATGTTAAAAACATGTTAATGAGTTCAAACAGAGGAGTGAGGAGCGGATCACTGGGTCCAGATCCACGTGGAAACAGGCAGGAAGTAACAATATCAAAGAATCCGGAAGATGTTTGTTTGTTGGAACTTTATTTAACTAGTTTAGTGACGTTTAACCAGCTAGCAGGGTTAGCTTAACCTCACAGAGCACCATGACGAACTTCAGTTACAGATGTGGACACTGACATTTAACACCATACTGGAGACAACACACAGCAAAGGGCGACACGTTCACGACATATATGAATCAATGTGCTGTCSGGATGAATTCGGCATGTGTTTGACACACGTGGGTTCTGTCCTGTTTATAAATGTCCTCGTTGTTGAGATGTTCCGCAGATGCTTGTCAAAGCCGGTGTCGGGAGCGATGTGTTGTTTGAGCAAGAGACTGTGTTACAAGAAGATTTTAATTAGGATTTAATCATGTTTACACGTTT